TTAAAACGGATGGTACAACATCATGTGCACTGTATCAAAAACATTTCTTCATCATTCCAAATCTCTCAATATCATGGGAACCATCTATATATCTTTCATCTCACTTGCCCCAGTATTTATGTTCATCAATATAACCACAATTTCAAACATGCACCCAGACACCATAAGTATTAAGTAGCACTACCAACCGGTGGATGTAGCTCAACTGGTATTGAGGAAGTGTCACAGGGATTAGATTCCGGGTTCGAATCCCGGTAACTGCGATAAGACGTTACTATGCTAAAAAATGCATAAGACCTTTGCAAGTATCGGAGACAGAGTCTCATTCCCTATCTGTTAGATGAGGATTATAGTCCAATTTACCGAGAGCCCCACTATGCTATAATGAGAATTTTTCGTTATAAATATATGCGTTACTTTATATGATCTAAATAATATCCACACAAATTAATTAAGATTTAATATTCCTGCAAAGCTACAAAAATAAAGTGAACTGTCCTCGCTCAGTTCTATAATTCTTTCTACTTACCATTTTGGAATGTCCCAAAAAATTGTCACAATTTCATTTTTTTGAAAAGTTTTGTATGACTAATACTCCCTCCGTTCCTAAATAAACTTCCAACTTTCCTTTTTCGTCCGTTCCAATTAAAACTTTCACTTTCCCTTTTTGGTAAAGAATTTGTGGTTCACAACATTTTTTACACATTTCTCTCTCCTCTGCACAACTCTCCACCACACAATATCCACTATCTTAAACTTTGTGTCAAACCCATTTGGAAGTTAAAATGGGAACGGAGGTAGTATTTGTTTACTTTTTTCTTACTCAATCACAACTATGCATTTCCATTTTATTGCTATTTTTTTAATAAATGTGTCAAATCAAATTCAGAAGTATTTTCTGACGGAAGTATTGTTTTTTTTATAAGTCAATAAAAAGTACTCTCTTCGTTCCTATTTTATCTTCCAAATAGATTTGACATACAATTTAAAATAGTGGTATTGTGGGGTGGAGAGTTGAGCAGAGGAGAGAGAAATGTGTAAGAAATGTTGTGAACCACAAATTCTTTACTAAAAAGGGAAAGTTGAAGTTTTAATTGGAACGGAAAAAAACAGGAAAATTGAAAGTTTTAATAGGAACGGAGGGAGTAATAAAATATTCATATGGCCATATCTAAGTTATGATGTCAAATAACTAGGTGTACTTCAGCAAAATTTTAGACGCACTCATTATTAAGAATCCAAAAGATAGCCCTTACTCGTTAGTAGATGTACGTAGTATTAAACACTAGGAAAAAATGGTTGGTTGGGGTTCGAATCTCGCTAACTGCGTTGAGAGATGACTATGCTAAATGTAAAAAATATAGGATCTCTGCAAGTATCGGGCCAACCATATAGGAACACAGCTTCGCTCTCTATCCGTCAGATTGAGATTATAGTCCAATTTACATCCTTCTAACGTAACATCCCGTCGGGGTTGAGGGGTGACTTCAGGATGATGTGTACACATTTTCTGTATATTCTTTCTCTTTGTCATTTCTAGACAGATAAATTGTAAAGCATCACTCTAAACACAACTGCTGCATGTGGCGATGTGGTCCATGTGTACATGATAATCATTCTAGAGTTACACGGAGACTTTTGCGGTGTGCACCTTGTCTTATTCTTTAAGATTAATTTGTGTTTGCATCCGATTTTATTGTTCGAATTAGACTTTGTACCCTCTTTTTTAAGTCTTTATTTTTGCACCTCAACCCTATATGAAAAGGCAAAAATGCCCTCGATCAAGAATATGTTGGAGGCTAACAAAATTGTTATTGGAGGGGAAATTTTGTCTCTTCATATGGGGTTGGGATGCAAAAACAAAATTTTTTAAAAATGGGGTGCAAAGTCCAATTCCACAATAAAATGTGATGCAAACTCAAATAAATTAACCCTATTCTTTAATAGGAAAAAGGTCATTCTTTAATTGTTGATCTATCACTCAAGTTCTTACACTAAAGATATCACGTATCATATAAATACATTTACCTTAAAAACACAGTTAAATAAATCATTTTAACGTGTTATAACAAGTTAACATTAAAATGAATAAGAAGTAATCGACAGTTTGAATCAATCCTTTCCATCATTTGCAATGGAGCCAAAGATTCATTATTTTTTGGCTTGAGATTATGATGGAATAAAGCAAAATGGTTCACTAAACTGTCTGCGCTTCTTTGTTATGAAGCAACAGTCAGTCCATGCAATTTTGGACGGGATTTTCACTATGGGTCATCCAGAAACAGTCTCTCTGTACTTTAGTACAGGGGTAAGACTGCGTACATCCGACCCCCCTTACCCCACCGTAGGTGGGAGCCTTTGCGGCAATGGGGTAAATGAAAATGAAAATGAAAACAGTTTGAATCAATCAAATAATGCTCACATTGAAATGTAATGTCCATATTTTAAAATGACAATCTAATCATCAAATATTAAGATTAGTACACAATATCATGCCATCACAATAATCATCAATGATCTAACTATATTAGGAGTGTTTGTAAAAACTTAAAAATGTGTTTTTCAGTTTTATATTTAAAAAAGTTAAAATTATCGTTTTTAAGTGACAATTTCTAATTTGTTGGGCCGTGGACCGCGGGTATGCGTGTCAGTAATCTTCTAGTCTGCCGGTGTAAAGGGGTAAAGAAACGTGGCGCTTCGTTTGTGCTATAAAGGGAAAGGAGCGTGCTACACTATCAGCAATTGCTTTTGGTGTAGCGGTAAGCGCAACGATCCACAAGTGGTATCAGAGCCAAGGTCACAGGTTCGACCCCCGGAGACAGCATGCTGTGCAGCTGAAGGCTGGCAGGTGCTGGGGGGAGATTGTTGGGCCATGGGCCGGGGTATGCGTGCCAGCAATCGCCATAATTAATTTGAACATTTAAAAGTTAAAAAGTGGAAGCAAGTAGATGAGTGTTTTAAGCCATTTTTTCATTTGTTTCTATTACCCAAAAAAATACTTTTTAAAGATAGAAGAAACCGCAAACAATCGATGCACGCATTTAAACAATATCTCAACATATATACACAAATTACGTTATTTAACAATTCTAAAGCATCGTTCTCGGTATATAAGGTGATAGTGTTTTAAGCAAAAAGAAGTACAAAGTACTTTATTCCATTTTCTTTTATTGCAAATTGCAATAGCTTACTTATTCACGTTTGTCTATGCATATGTTTTGATTATTAATAACTTTCATTTTTCATTAGTAAATAAATTTAAAAAGCATTACTTTAAAATTTTCAAATGAGAGGAATTTAGTGATATTATTCAAAAGTTTAATTTATACCTCTTGTATCTTACTTTCCTTTTTTGTGTTTTTTTTATAATCCAGGTGTCGGTGTTTGCGCTTCCTTAATATGATCACAGTCAGCTTTGGTCTGTACTGATTCCACAGGATGAATCCAGCAGAACATCCCTGTCAACTGAATCCAGAAGGGTCCTCCTAACATGTTGTCAACTATATTCAGAAGAGTCCTCCTACCATGCAGGGCTTCCTGTCAACTGAATTCAGAAGTAGAGCCGTTAAGATGGGTCGAAACCCGCGGGCTGGCCCGTTTAAACCCATTTATTGGTGGGTTAGGGTTGAGAATTTCTGACCCATTTAGTTCACGGGTTTCGCGGGTCAACCCACGCGGGTTGTGGGTTTAAGTGGGTTGGCCCACCGGGTTGCGGGATGGCCCGCGCGCCAAAATACAAAAATATAGTTTTGAATTTTATTATCTTAAATATTGTCCTTTTACTACCAATATTATTATAATTACAAATAAAAAAACTACAACCATGACAAAACAATATTTATTTCTATAATAAAATTCAATTAAAATGTTGAAACATAGTATGTATATTTTATGTGAAGTTCGATACAATATTTAACAATTTGTAGTCATTATTTACAAATAATTAATCAAAAGGTTTATGTAGATCTTTATTTTTATACAATGAGTATTTTTGTCGCATACCCTCTTATAGTTTTCAATTTCTCGTATAACTTTTTTTTCCTGGTTCAAACCACACTAGGTGGGGGGTGCCGGGGAACACCTCCCTAATTTATTAAAATGTAGTAAGAAGTACATGTGCTTAAATTTGAGAGTACAAAAGAAATAAATCGAAAACTCAAATTCTCGTATAACTAGTATTTAATATTTTATAATTAAACTTAACAGGTGTTGAATTTTTAGTATTTTGATTTCTTATATTTCCTTTGTCACTACTTACTAATATAAACATATACTTCCGTGTAATTATTTTTAATTTTTTTTGTTATATATTGTTTTTACATTATTGGCCCGCGGGCCAACCCGTTTAACCCACGGGTTAGGTGAGTTAGATTAGGGTTGTAGAAATTCTGATTCGTCATTAAACGGGTTGGCCTGACCCCACCCACATAGAGCATCACCCGTTATGGGTCAGGTCGGGTTGGGTTGGGTTGGCCCGTTTGACAGCTCTATCCAGAAGGGTCCTCTCAGTCTCTCACCACGCGAACTCGTGACCTGAATTTTCCACCCGCTCCCTTCTAAATCACTGTGCAACTCCTTGAAGGTAGGAAGAATCATTGGGAGCAAGACCTCCCTCATCTCCCCTAAATGTATCTAACGGGTTTCGAACCCGAAACTTCCACTAAGAATGATAACCTCCCATCCAGCGAGCTAGAATGCTTAGTTTCATTTTTTTTGTCATATTAATTTTGTCATTTTCTTTTTAACTTTACCACCTTTACACCAACTTCAATTATAAAGTCTTTATTAATTAATAAACTTGACCAACTCCTAAGAGAGACAAGGACTACTCCGTAATACATTAATACCGACTATATAACAAGTCAAAATAAAATACATAGTGCTCCATACATTAATATATGGTGTCTATTAAGAATAAAGTGAAAATATATGATTATAGTTGTGTAACAAAAAAGGGAATGAACGTGAATCACATATTTTTTTCAAAGGTAGAAATTGGAAGAATTAATTGGAACGATACAAAAAAGAACGTGTTAAACATGACATGTTAATTAGTTTAATTTATTAAATTGCTAAGAAGAGGTTGCAATAAAAGAGCTTACGATACATCGCGAACGATAATAGAATTATAGAATTACGTACATAGAATAAGTCCATAAATCAGATAGTTAAGAAACTGAAACCCAATCGAGTGTCATTATATTTCTATAAGTTCAAATATTACGCCCGAACTAAAATGTAGTAAGCACCGTCCTGAAGTGGATTCACGGTCACTCCCCATTCATCGGTGAGGAGGGGCTCGCCGGACGGGTAGTGTATCAGCACCGCGTCATCACCAAACGCCGCCTTCACGTTGAGATGTGCCGCCGCCGCCACCTCCAATGCCATGTCTCCACTTACCAACACTGTTGATTTTGCCGCCGTCTGTGGAGGGTAGTCGGACATTAGCTGGGCGAGCAAAAGGCTCGCCGGAGTATCATCCCCTGAAGAACCAAAACCACAAGCTGATGGGTCGATGAGAGGAAGAGGCGGAGGAGGAGGCGGTGGGGGTAAAGGAGTGTGGGTTTTTCGTTGCTGTTGCGGAGGCGACGAAGGCGGCAGTGGCGGGGAGAGGGCGGAGGAGGTTTGGAGCTGCCGGAGTTTGTGTTTGGTTCTTGATTTTCGGTTTTGGAACCAGTAGAAGACGTTGGCGTCGCCCAGTTGACCGAACTCTTGAAGTTTGACTCTGATGTTCCGAATCTCATCTCTGGAAGGATTCACCATACCGGAATTGAAGATGGATTCAAGAATGCGAATCTGCTCCGGCTTCGGATTCCATCTCGCTTTGGGCTCCGGCCCACTCCGGCTGCTCTCTTGATCACAACCGCCGCGGCCGGCGAGTCCTCCGCCTCCGGCGGTTATGTCACTGCAGTGGCGGTGCCACGGATTGGGCTTGGACTTGAACATGCTGGGCCAGTGTCTCTTTGAGGAAGACGACGATGACATGGATCGATGATATAAGGCTCGCAGTGTGTAAGTAGTGGATGAAAGAAAGCACGTAGAAGAGATGGATGGAATTGATCGAATACCCACTCTGTTTCTTAGACTTCTTGGTAACTCATAAGTCCATCTTTATAACCAGCTTTTCAGTATTTATAAAGGACGAGGGTAACAGTAAAACTCTACTCAAATAGCTAAATACAAGGTTGAGTAAAAATTAGAGAAAGTTAAGGGCAAGTTTGGTACTTTCCCCTTCCCATTAAATTGTCTATTTTTCGTTTGTGGATTCGTCTCACTATAATAATCTCATACTCCGTATCTGATTTACAATTCATTCTGTCTCACAAAACTTGATCAAAGTTGATTTGCACGTAGATTAATAAAGTAAAAACTGTGTGATTGAAATTTTTGCAAAAAAAAATGTTTTAACCACATATTTCTTACTTTTAGTGCACTACAAAAAAGGAGGTTTGTTACGGACTTTGTCACGGCTAGCAGTTCAAAAAATCCGTGACAATTTTTTGTCACGGACTTTTTCACGCCCATTATCCGTGACAATCCGGGCGTGACAAACTATTTGCCACGGATCCGGATCCATGACAGAGTTTGTCACTGATTAGTCACGGCCACTTTTCGTGACAAAACATGTCACTAGAGCAACGCCGATTCTTACTTGTCACGGATAAATAAGTGACAAACTTTTTTTGAATTTTATTTAAAATATCCGAAATGCGCTAGACGGGTAAGTTGAAAACATCATAAGTTGGTGTCCCAATGGCCCAAAGTTCTTTCATTTTCTCGATAAGGGATTGGAGATAGATGTCTATCCTTTTTTTAGGATCTGAGGGACCTGGACAAATTAAAATCAAAAAGATGAAATGACTTTTCATGCACATGTCGGGAGGTAGATTGTAGGGACGGAGTTAACATGATTGGCCAACATGAAAATTTCTTCCCAAACTTTCCAAAAAGAGCAAATCCGTCTGAACACAATCACAGTCGCACATTTTGTGGCTCCATTGCAAACTGAGGATGACATCGGTCAAAGTGTCTTCAAGCTTCATAGTTCGAAGGGTGAGACATCAAACCCTCTTTGGTTTCGTGCTCAACATGTCATGTCATGTGTCTCGCAGTAGCATTTGAAGCATATTTCTTCTTTAGACGTGAAGCTAGTGGGAGGTAATACAATTTAGACAATGCAAACCTTTTTCATGGTTTTTTTCCTTTGAGAAACAAGTTTGTATCTCTCTCCACCACAGAACTTACAGTTCTCAAGTGTCTCATCATCCTTCCCGGCACACATCAATTTTTTATACAAGGAAGCCCTAACTGAGAAATTAATTGCTTCATGTTGTAATATGAATCATGAAGAGTGTGGTCACGCGGTAGCATTCCTCCAATTGATTGCAACAACCTAGACATGCAAGTTTCAGGGAGTGTACTCAGCTTTAATGTTTATCAACTCTGAAATGGCGGATAGCTGAGAGTAACCCTCACGATTAGCATACAGAGGTTGATCGACAGCTTTTAAAACATCTTGAAATCTCTCAGCTAAACATTCAATATGAGGGACATGAGAATTTGGATCTTCTTCCACATCAGGTTGATAAAAGAATGGATTTTCATCCGCATATGGTTGATACGAGGTCGATGCTTCAGGACGATCGTTAAATGATTGTGGAGAGTTAAACTGAGACGTCGATGCATCGTATACATCATATACCATTTTTTGGTCCCAGTTCATTTGAGCATAGTCTCCTCACCCACTCATCTCGTTAGAAACGTTACGAGACGAACCTACTGCTTGTGGTAAAAGTGATGGATCAAAAGGTTCATCATCAGAAGTCCAATTGTAATAATTGTCAAGGAAACCTCTTTCGTACAAATGCCACACAACCTCTTCGGTGTGTTTAAATTTGAGATTTTAACACTTGACACATGGACATCTGATTCTATCACCATCCATATGATCCTTTTGTTCTTGTGCAAATTTAATAAACTCTTGAATTACATTAAAATATTAATATCGTGTTCCTCTTTTTCGCCATGTTTATCATACATCCAACTTCTATTTTGTCTATACATAATGCCTGAATATTATAATCAAAAAATTTAATTTAATATTGGTTAAAAACTATAAATTATAAACATTAACAATAATTTGTTATGTTTAATATGTTCACTAATTAATATTTAGGAACATTGATATATTAAATTTCACTAAAGTTCACTACAATTAATTAACGTTCATTTAATATTATTAATTAACTAAAAGCAATACGTTAATGGCATTAATCATTTAAATTATTAACTAATTCACAATATTTAGGAACATTAATATATTAAATTTCACTACAGTTCGCTAAAATTAACTAAGGTTCAATTAATATTATTTATTAACTAAAAGCAATTAATAAGTTAATGGCGTAAATCATTTAAATTATTACCCACTTCACAATATTTAGGAAACATTAATATATTAGAATTTTAACACTAATATACACTAAATTATTACGTTAATGGCATGATTACTTCACAAAACTAAAATTATGAAAATCTAATAATACACAACAAATAATTAACTAACAATTAAATGAAATGAAATTCAAATAATTCACATTTAAATCTATTTCAATCAACTAATATTTAAATTTAACTAATATTACCAATTCAAATCCTTAATTAATGGTATTACCTAATAATATTATCAATTCAAACCCACTTCAATTAATTAATATTTACATTTAACTAATATTGTCACGGAACTAAAGTTCACTAATTTAACTTTGTTAATGTACATTTAACTAATATTGTTAAATATTATTAATTCACAATAATAATTCACACTAAACTAATGTTTCAATCCTAACTTAAATCACTATAAATCCTAAATTAGTCATTAAAATAATTGCTAATAAACAAACCTAATAATTATATAATCCATTTTCAATTAACTAATATTTAAATTTAACTAAATTACTTTTATAGTAAAATATATTGTTAATAAATTAACAACCTCACTAATTTAACAATTTTAATTATTTAAAATAAAAAAATTAATACTTATTAAAAAAATACATAATTCAAATGACATACCTTATCTGCATAAACAAGAAAAATGATGAACTGATAAATTACATCATTCAATCTTTCAACAGATATTGTATTGTACTCTGACTGAATTTTAACTCTTAGCACTAGAATGAAAATGCATTGCCATATATAAAACAATTTGTCACGGAATTTGTCACGTATAAATCCGTGACAAACACTTTTTTGTACAACATTAATAAGATGACCACTGGAATATCACTTATTGGGTTTTGTCACGGACTTTGTCACGGACGGATCCGTGGCAAATATTTTTTGAATTTTGTCACAGATTTTGTCACGGAGAAAATAATATAAATATCCCGAACTTTATATAAAAAGTTTTTTCTCACCGCGATTTTATGTTTTTTAAGACTATAAATTTATTGAAATAAGTACATAATTTAAAATGGTCTAAGCTTTATTGGGATATAGTTAACATTCTAAAATTTTACTTTTTGAAATAAATTATGTATACTTCGATACAATCTTGCTTGAAAGTGCTTTGTCTATTTTAAATTGTGTTTACTTAACACCATAAAATTATATTTGTGAAAACACTAATTATAAACATTTTACTAACTTAATTTTTTTATATAAAGATTAGGATACAAATATTACATGATGTGCAAGTTTAGGAATATATCAAACTTGCACATGACAAATGACAATATTATCATATCAAGATTACGCATTTTTAGCATGTATTTGCCAACGACATGATTAGTATTTTAATTTTTAGATTTAGACATTAAATGATCTTGTGTGTTCTGGACTTGAGCTTTTTTTTTAAAAGACTTGAGCTTAATTCATAGGCTATGTTTGGCAATAGGCGGTTAGCTGTTAGCGGGTAATGTTAGCAGATCAAAAATAGTGTATTAGAGTCAGCGGATTTGACCAACGGATTAATTTGGCGGGTTGCAAAAAAATATTTGGTAACTTAGTTGTTTATTTATAGCGGTTAGTAGGTAAAAAGACATATGAAGTCATGCATTAATAATTTTAGTATCCATTTTTAATAATGTTGTTAATGTATTACTACGTAATTGATAAAAAATTTCAACTTACAGATTAAAATATGACTCAATAAAATCACAAGAATACAAAAATATATCAGTCTAATTAATGAATAGCACATTTGAGTTCCAAAAAAATTAGTAATTTCATTAATCATTTCCATGTCATTTCTTTTATTTTTATTCTTAGCCGACTTTCAAGAGTTACTAGAACTCAAACAACAATTAGCATATGCGGCGTATGTTAGTCGTAGCTTGGGCTACAAAAATCCAATCAGATGCAAATGGAATCATATGCAATTTCTTCATTAGATAACAAAAATCTAGAGTAATAGGATGAGTTTTAGAACATCAATAGATCGAGGTTCTAACTTTTGGCGACCCATAGCAGCAGCAAGAGGGTAGCATGCCTTCAACAGATGCATTGGAATACAGAATAGAAAATGAGAGAACAGGTTTGGAAATCCAATAATTAATTGAAAATGCCAAAGTATAAACGCTCCTAGTTGCAGCGTTTTCTATTTTGGCGAATTCATCCAAGACGCTGAGAAAAAACGTCAAATACCAAACAACATTTCCAAACTTTCAAACAGCTAAATTGGTCAAACCCTTCAATTTCTGGCGGAAATGCCAATTACCAAACACAGCCATAGTATAACAAACTTTATGGAATTCACATATAATATGGCCATATGGGCATCGAAGTTTTTATTTCATATTGGAATTGAGAGTTTATTTTGTACTACTAGTTGTTTTGTCATATTGCGGTACATTTTTTTTACCGTCTATTTTGTTGTGAGTATGAACTATGAAGTCTACGAATGCATAAAATTTCAAGTTTTTTCTTTAATGCATCTGCTTTTTCTGCTTGCGATTTTTTCCTTTTTTTTAATGTTGTTAATTATTTCTTCACTTTCTATAAAAATTTCAAGTTTTCTCTTTAACCTTACTTTTTACGGAGTATGTCTTTTTGGTACTTTTTTCACTTCGATGAGTTTCCGCTGTTT